CTACTTAAAAAAAATGGGTGATAGATAAACTATTTTAATTACCAGATACACACGTGTGTTAACAATGAACATGCATTGTATACCGTATCGGTAACTGTAACCAGGTTTTTTTATAAGTGTTAGAGTTCACATCAATATTTTAGAAAACATCCGATATTTTAAAAAGATATTAAAAGAAGGTAGTTTGTATTTAGTACTAATAAAGTATCCAATGTAAATATTATTACAAATATTGTAAATAGCGCCATCTAGTATTTGTAGACCGACCCACACAGTCTCCGGTCTATAATACGGAGGTCGGTAGTTGAATAATCCTCTTTCGTTGGATGAGCCGTGACATTCAGTCGACGAGAGCAGAGCGTACCAGTTGTGTTTTGGATATAAAAGTGAATTGTAATAGAAATGGGTTTATCCCGGTCTTAGTTGGGCCTGGGGGGAACTACAAGTAGTGAAGGTGAGTGTTAATACATTCTAAAAGAGCTCTTTAAACCTACACCCGTGTCACTAGTCACGGGCGCTACTTGGGGTTTCTCTTCCGCTAGCCAGCTTCAAAGCCTAAGTCGTCATCATTTTCAATTAGTACTTCTTACATAAGTGACGATGAATTCGATCTCCAGTCTACACTAACTATACAGTTAGGAACTAAAAGAAACCAAAAACAAGATTCTACACTCTCGATCCTTAAACGCATTAAAAAAAACACATATGAAATGGCTTAAAGTCAAGAGTAGGCCTACTAAGGTAATGTAACGGTCTCTGCTGAGTCTACCTGTAAATCGGCGATACAATTTTTTTTCTAGTTATCTAACTCATATTAATAACTATTAAAGTTTTTAATGACAAATTATATAATTAGTATGAGAACAACCCGTAACGGTTTAGTTGTTTTAAATATACGGGTAACTATTTTTTGTATACTACGAAGTTGGCAAAGAAGCATACGGCCCATTCTGATGATAAATGGTTACCGTAGCTTATGGACGCTTGAGACACTAGGGGTGTCTCGTGCGGGTTGCCTACCTTTAAGAAATCTTAATATACCATTCTTTAAAAACCCCCACTCTGTAGTCTCTTGAGAAAACCTCGGCAGGAAGTTCATTCTACAGTCTAAGGGTACGCGGGAGGAATCTCCTCTGAAACCGTACTGTCCGAGACCACTTAGGTTCTAGCGTGTGTCTATTGTATTGCTATTTGTATAGATATTGTACCAATATTTTACTCTTTACTAGGATTTTATTTTTTATAATAGAATTGTGCTGTCTCATCAATCATTCACCGCATCAGTATAGAGTTTGTCAAAGGGATGTAATGCCTCTGACAGACACCAGTTGATGATGATTATAACGAAGGCGTCAGGAATTTAGGGTGAAAAGAATTATTTAATTAAACTATGTGTTTAATTAAATAATTCGCATAGCTGTATGAGTAATATACCAATTTATTTAAATCAATAAAACAACAAAACGAATAGAAATTTGTATACCATCTGTATACTAAAGAAATTTCCTCGTTGTTTGTCTTCAAGCGCAATATCTTCCTTCGCATCGTCTTTTGAATTCGGTACTTGGCCTGCAAAATGCATACGTAGCATTCTACGAGCATGTACTGCAGTTCTCCGCAAACAATGGATGAGAGGGCCGAGCCGAGTGGATGCGGCTCAAAGGGAGTGAGGAGGGGGGGGGGGGCAGGGAGATTGGGGCCATTCATCAACTCACCCCATTGGTGCACCCGCGATTTACGGTCCGAAAATTTTACGCCAGGATATTTTGTGGTCAACATTTTCACATCATATATATGTTTGTTCGCTTAATATTTTGCAGAATAATCAGTTCCTATTTAGCTGTTATTATGTGCCATACATTCAATTTTTAATTGAGTTTTATATTATACTAGTGACTCGCCCCTGCTTCGTCACTGTGTTTATGATTTTGTGAGTTTTGTGTATATTAACATAATAAATTATGTAATATTTATTAAATAAATATAGCCCGTCTTTCTGTGATAATTAATGTAAAAATAGATTCTAATTAGGTCCATAGCCACAAAATTTGCTTTCTTCTTAAAAAAATTTCGCAGTTTCTATTACTGAATAAAGTACATAAGTAAAACACAGATTAAGTTGTACAAACAGGTGTCAACCAAATGTTCTAATATTTATATCATAGGTAATTGTTATCTCATTAGAGTTTTCAAAAATCTAATGCTAGTACACATCCGCTAGGATGCTTCCACCGTAAAATAATTCTAAATTTCAGCTTTATAAATTAGCAATTTTACACAGATTTTTTTATATTACTGATTATCTAACGCACAACGATAGATAATCGGTATATCAAGCCTTTTTTCTGTTATGGGCTTTATAATTTTGCAAATAACAAAGTAGTAATCTATTTGTATACATTTTATTCTATCCTAATGAAAACTACTGAACTAATTATTATCAGTTTTGTTTCTCTTCTATTTCGGATAAAAACTTTTTACGTTCGTACTTGTATGTATATTATTTACATACTTATATCATAAATCTACAGTACCGAAGTCACAATGGCTGTGTAAGACGATATATTTTTACCTTTTCAGTGTTTCTTACGACCTCTATAAAGAAATCGAAGGATCGGTTTATGGTGTTTGGGAAATGTTTTGTGTGTATGTACTTGTATTGAGACTTCAATATTAAGGGATTGGTATAATAATAGAATGAAATTAACAATATGTATACTTAGTATTGAAACGAAATGAAATTTTATTGCAAGAAATGTGATGGTATATTTTAAGTTTTTTTAGGTCATTTCTGAAGTGCATCTGACAAAAAATTTACAATTTTAATATTATTGTGATAACATTATTATATGTATATTTTATAATTAAACAATAATTTGTATGGTCAATATCGGGAACCCAGATTATTAAACGAGCATATCAATTATTTTAATTTTGTAAGGACTCCTGAATACTATAGAAAAATAATAAATAGTAGTTATAATAGCTGGTATAGATAAAACAGAATAACAAATAGAGCGGCGTTATTTTCTCTTTTGCCTGAAACATGAATGAAAAATAAAGCAAAAATATATTTCACAGTACCATAGACAATTTTCTATGAACTAAATAAAATACACAACAGTCTTTTGAAAACGCAACGAACAAAATTTTCGTGTTTAATAAAAATAATTGTAGGTAAATACTACTATTACTGTATTTTTAGTTATTCTAAATTATAAATTAAAAAAATGTACTTTCAAAAAGAGATTTTATGTAGTTCGAATATATTTTGATTGTGCATATATGTATTACTACATATAGAGATTGATAACAAAATACATTCAATTTCAATGATTGTGTTTACAATGGCTTTACTACCGTAATTATGTCATATATTTATTGTGGTAGGACATTATTTATATTGTTAGCCGGGTCTTAACGTGAATAATTTTATGGTAAATAAAAGTATTCACCTCTCTCAACGTTTCGACTACGTTGCACGTACGTAACAAGCTGATTTAAACGAAATGTCGAGAAATCTTTATTTACCATTAAATTTTAGTTAACAATATAAATAATGTGTAATAGGATTGAATTGAAAAAATACAGAACATTAAAAGTTGTTTTAATTAAACAAAGCTCGTAATTACAACCCGAATCAATGTCATTTTATATACCTATAGGTTTCCGTTCTATAAATCATTTCATTAAATCTAAAAAACGTTGTTTACATGTTTTGCTATTGTATTATACTATTATGTTACACAAATGTAACCGACACCTCTGACCTTAGTTAAAATTGTTAATTATTTTATCTGAATTGACATCTAATTGTTTTGTTACATTGTCATGCTTGTGTGTTACAACTATTTATCATATATTCTATTGTTTAATTGGAATAATACCAGTCAATGACCGGTGTATATGAGAGTTTGGTTTTTCAGTCGCCAGATACCGTGACGTGTGTCACGGTATCTGCACGTCAGTATAATAAGACCTTAAGGCCTTCAACCTTTAATTTTAATGACCTTTATTGATTAGAATTAATAATTATATTAGTTAAGTGTGCAACGACATATAGGGATATCGTATGCCTCGTATGTAAAATATAATTATATAGAGCAATTCACACAGTTCTATCTAGTCCCAAGCTATCATCTATCAGCTATCATTGTAACACATAACATTGTAGGTAACACACTAGGTGTTAAACCGTTACACCACTGAGGTCGTTATTTCGACTAGTTCATCATCATTGTAATTAATTAAAGATCACAACGTACTGATTCACTATTTTCTTATATAGTACATCTAAAATCCGTATTCATCCTCCAATTCTATAGCAGGCTGACATAGCACCGGACCGAAAAAAGTAATGACCAATAAAGTAAGGAAAGGTCTGTTGCCGTTACTGTCTTAACTACCACCTTATCGACTAGAGTTAGCGACAGTATAGAATAGATGGGTAGTTCAAAGTAAATAATGGAAATTAAAGGTGAACTTTTTTGTGAAAAAAAAATATAACACAGTATAACACATACTGTGTTATATTTTTTTTTATCAATTCAATCTAATCTAATCAAAATGTCTTATTTCCTGTTGGTCTAATACACTCTATGGTATGTCAATTTCCCGTAAATTCGCAGTGCTTTACATAGAAGAACAGACCAGAAACTCAGCTCTTATTTTTTTTAAATGAGCTTGTAAATTATTACAGAAATACAGATTATTATTTAAATTCAATTAGGGAGAATATCGTGACCACCAACCAGCATGAGCTGTTACATTTTTCTCAAAAATAAATAATCTAATAAATATATATAATGTGAATAGACCAGTCCCTAGAAGCAACACCCGTTCACGAGTATGACGTAATTGAAATGTAATAGAAGTGGAAACCGTTTTCTTTTATGCCCATTATTAGGTCCATTTTCTGGTTAATCATTAATTGGTCTGTTCAAATTTAATCATATTTTCCTTATTGTTTTATTAATATTTACTTTATGTTTTTGTTTCAGGTAACTTTGCCAAGTCACGCATGTATAATAAGATTTTAATCGTCATTCATAAACGACAGATGTGGAGGTAAATATGAATTTGAATAGAATTTAAGATGAGACTTCTCGAATTCTCGGCGAAGGGCGTTGAAACGTATGAAGTTTGGACGCCAGCCTTAATTAAGTGTAACATAAATTTTGTATAAATTCATGATCTTGTTCATATAATGTTAGAAATGCACATTATTTTATAAAGGCAAGAGTTCAATTTCGTTTGTAATGTTGTTTAATTTAATAAATATGAACAGAAAAATGTTTGTTGTAATGGAAGTAAAAAATATTCGACCTATATTTAAAATTCTTTCAAGCTTATAATTAAATAACATGGTTGTTATTACATTTTCATAAAAAATAGAGATGTTTACAATGATGAAGTAATCTGTGGTAAACTAATCATTGCTAATCTGTAGATAAAATATCATTTATACGCTTCAGTTGTTTATTCGTCATTGAAAATCAAACATACTTACATAAACTAGGTCATTTTCTTATATACTTCAGTCATTTACCACACAGATGATATAAAAAACATCTTATGATAAACCAAACAAATTCACGATCGCATCAAAAACGTGTGTTTCAATTTTGTTATGTAATACTTTTTTTTAAACAAAAGCAATGTTTGGTAGCGTTACTGTCGGCTTAGTGCGCGTTTTAGTTTTGCCTTACTGTTTATAAACAAAACAGGTATATGGGTACGAAATCGTGAGATCACCTGGTTGTAAATATAGTTTGACGGCCTCGATAGTCTAGCGGTTTAGCACTCTGCTTTACTTGCAATAGTCGCGGGTTTGATTCCTCGCACGGTACTAGCATTTGTATTCATGAGTATGATAGTTTGTATCCGTCTGAGATTGTTCTATGTATATTATGTATGTATTTCCAAAAAAGTTGTATCTATGCACATCTGCCAGTTGTCTAGTACCCATAACACAGTTCTGCTTAGGTTGGGACTAGATGGCGCTCTGTGAATTGTTCTGAGATATGATTTTTATTATATATATAGTGCGCGCAATCGGCTTATCTACCTATGCACAGTACAGAATTGTCTTTTATTTTGCTGTCCTTTTGGGGTGGCGGAAGTGCTTCGTCAGTTGGGTGGACGGTAGTTTTCGGGTGTTCTCCTTACACCCTACTTAAAATTTACTCAATTGTTTTACTCCCAAGTAATATTGTTCTTCAAGCGTGTTTCTTCGTAAGAGGAAGATTTTTTTTTATAGACGATGATGAAAGGATGCCCGTCTGCGCTAACAGTTCTGGCGGCCAGTAGTTGAAAATGATGTCAGTTCAGGTAGCGCAATGAGGAACAGTTGGTTAGTTACCAGGATACTAGGACCACGTGGATATTGGCCTGACACAGAATTTTTTTAGCAATGGAACCAATAGTCCCTCTTTCTGGCATCTCCCTCACCATCTGGAGGAATAAGGTTAATAGTGGCCAAGCGGCTTGGTATGGGCTTTTATTTCGAGTTTAATATGTTTGTGTTCCGTTAGTTTAAATGTGTTATAAAAAATGATAATAACAAGCACATGGAAATAGACATAAACTACTACAGATGCACATCGCATATGCTGTGATGAATATAATTTAGTTTTGAATATAATTTAACTATTTGTAATATAGGTACTTCATAAGAATTGGTTTAATTTATTGATGTATTTGAGATAGTCCTATGAAGGATGAAGGTTAATCCAAACATTATTCCGAGAAACAGCGATAAGCTCGCCCCCCTGCCATGTTGCTCTTTTATATAGTCAACAAAACATGGGCATGTCAAGTGCGTTTATCATTACTTAGATAATTTACTATGTCTCTGACTACCTTATCTGCGATAACAGTCGTGTTGCATGTATGTATATGTTTGGACAGATGCCAAGATTTGGGCAAATTCGTGACGACTTAGCGGTAACTGTACGAACTTCGGGAAAACCAAACGAAGTTGCGGAAACTGACTAGTAAAGTTGTATTATTTAAAACCATTATCTTCCTCAACTCGTTATCTTACAAAAAGGACACCAGGGAGATGATTAAAAAAGTTAATTCGGGAATATTGGAAAAGTTGGGAACTTCTACAAAGCGGGGATCGAACATTCCTATTTTAAGGAACATTAGTTCAATAAATGTATAGAATAGCAAACTGACCGTTTTTTTATTTAATTTAAGTCAATTCAATAAATAAATACTTCAGTTTAAAAATGTAAACTAACAATAAAATTATTTAAAAGAACAACACTCAAGGTCCTCTCTCATTCTTCTTGTGATGAAATAGCTGAATGAAAAAATGTGATGATTCAAAAGTACTTCAATGTAAGTTTATATCAATAAATGGTTTTCTTTTCTATTATATTGGAATGTTAAACAAGCCGACGGCTCATCTGGTGGTACGGACTACGGACATCACATTATCATGAGACTCCTAGGGTGCCACTCATTCGTTGCCATTCCAGAGAACTAAGATATTATGCTTATCCTATAATGTTACGTTTTATTCCACATCCTACAATCGAAAGAAATGTTACAAAGTAAGCTATCACGCGTGTTATCCACTCATGTTAAAAGTCATCAAGTGTAACATATTGGCAATAATGCGACCAAGTTATTATTACTAGAATCAATTATGACATCTAGAAGGAATCACAGTGCTGTATTGTGAACCGAACTTATAATTTAGATAGATAGATAAATTCTTTATTCACCAAACAAACACGTAGAATACATGAGGTACAGGAAAATAAATTGTACAAATAAAAGAGATGGAGGTAGCTTTATGTGGCGCAAAGGTGAATAGGCAACCAACTCAGTATAAAGCTACAGATAAATTTGCAGCGCTGATATGTTGTTTCCCGTTTTTGTAAAATATAAAAAAATATTCAGTGTTACGGAACTTATATATGGTAAAGTGGTAAATTTTTAAATGTAAATCTAGAGTGAATATAAAAAAGCAAGCAACATTGAGCAGTGTTCAAAAACTAAAAAAGTTGGCTGTTATGTTTTATTCATGGAGAAGAAAATCCGGGAAAATACTTGAAAAATGTAGATTTTGAATTATAGTTGTTTGCTAATCGTTTTGTTGTAACATTTGGATATCACATGCTCAGTCTTTCTCCATGTAAGAGAAGTATTGCAGAAGTGATTCTTTTTTGAGCACAGATGAGTATCTGCGACTTTCAAAATTTTTGCTTTATTAACGAATCTATGTCAGTTAAAATACTGAACGATATTGTTGTAATTATACTTTAGAATTCGACCTCGACTTTGTAATGAAGCCACTTTAAATTTCACTTTAAAGAAAAAATATTTCTTTTAATTTAAAATAGGTATATAATCTGTTACCAATTAATTTTAATTGTAATATCGGGTCCTAACTCGCCTTTTCTTTATAATAATAATAATAACAAACTAAGGACAAATCACACAGCCCAAGTTAAGCAGAGCTTGTGTTATGGGAACAACTGATATAATTACACATTCTTTTTACAAATACATACATAATAGACTGAGAAAACACCAAGATCTACTACAATCATACTCATAAATATAAATGTTGGTACCGTGCAAGTAATCGAATCCGCGATCATCGGACGTGAAGCGGTGTGCTAAACCGCTAAACCACCGAGACTGTCTATTATGTCTGTTAACTATCAATTCGACAATATTCTTTTCTTTTCTTTGTATCTACAAGTATGTACTAATGAATAGTGTATACAATACATTATGTTTCTAGTCATTAGGCTTTAAAACATCATAAGTACTGACTGACCTTGGTACGTTAAAATACCAAGGTGAAGACCATAGGCCATTGTACGCGAAATTCATAAAAAATGCTTTGTAACTTCTGTTAGAAGTTCTTTGTTTGATATTTTTTTTATTAGCTTTAGCATTTATTATTATTTACTAGCTACTCGCCCCGGCTTCATACGGGTGTACGTATGTATTAAGTATATATAAACCTTCCCCTAGAATCACACTATCTATTAAAAAAAAACTCCAATATCCGTTGCGTAGTTTTAAAGATTTAAGCATACATAAGGACGGACGAATGGCGACAGCGACTTTATTTTATACAATGTAATGATTTATTCCAGACAACTAATAGCTCACTTTATATATATCTTATACAATAACATACGGAGAAAGTACCCCCACATGCTGGAACCTAAGTGGTCTCGGACAGTGCGGTTTCAGAGAATCTTCCTCCCGTTTACACTTAGTTTGTGGAATGAATTACCTGCCGAAGTTTCCTTGAGAGTCTCCAAAATGTGTTTTTCAAGAAAGGTATTCTTAAGGATCTGCAACGCGCACGTGACTCACCTACCGTGTTTGGTTGTTACAAGTGTCCATAGGCTATTATAACCATCATATGCTGGGGCCACACACGCTTTGTCATTCGATTTTAGGTGCGTCAACGTCGATGTTAGGTTACTATTGGTCGGTATGTAGTCGAGAATGTCTTCCTTGGTGGCGTAGTGTAGATGCGACACGTATATTGCCGTGGGCGATGTCGCAGTACGCAATATGAAGTTCGGCCCAGTAGTGCACCTACATATTATATTTTTACACATATTTTATTATATTATATACTATATTTTTTTATATTGGTTCTTTTTTGTCCCTTTCTTCTGTACCATAACGAAGACACCAACGTTATCGTTATTATGTTCGGCACACGATGGAGCCATCTTAGGTGCATCTTTGCGACATGCTGCTGTACTAGTGTAGATGTTCTAGCGGCGACACTAGCAAAATAATTAAGAGTCGAATTTATAACGGATTTTAAAAATTCTCTCAACCAAAGCAATATGTTTCACATATAGAAAGGAGCAGCATTAAGATCCATGCCAGAGATCGTTACAATAGTTGCATACGTGTGAAACCGGGGCGAGTCAGTAGTTCTTAATGTAATTAAATATGGCCTACGGTGAAAATTGTCAAAGGTATCGTAACCGACCTCAATATCGGTGGTATCCAACTGGAAAGTTTTAATTAGGTAGGTTCAAACTACTAACTGGTAATAAAGGATTTTAAGT